CAGCAGGAGTCTAGGAAGTCCAGTCAACAAGTTATGAGAGCAGGAGACAGGGCTGCTTACAACTCAGGCACTATCCTGAACTTACAACTTACATGTGTCTCCTGGGCCCGTGGGGAAGGGGTGAGGCAGAGTTCCCAGGTCAGGCTGCTTGGGGCTATTAAGGCATAATGCCTATGCCTTATATATATAATATATATAAAAAATAAATATAGCACTATTAAGGTATCGTGCCTTCAGGGCCCTGACACAAGTTTACAAGTTCACAAGCTCACAGTGGTGACTCTCAGTCATCTCCGTCTTTATGACCATCTTTGGGGTTTGGGGGAGAGCGTAGAAATCTCTGAGACATTGGAATGATCTCTGAAACATTGGAACAGGTCTTGGGCAGATTGCCTCCCACCCTCAGAGTAAGTATAGCCAGCAGGACTTAAGAAACTTGTAGAGACTTTTCCTGATATTTCACCCATGGATAGGCAACATACAGCAGATGGCTTTTTAAGACTGAAAGCAGGTGCATTAGCATGGTGCATGTGAGCTGGGATTCAGCACCCTTTAATGCCAGATATAATATGGGCTAGAAAAAAATTAACTCAGCTGTGAATGGCAACCAAGGCCCAGACTAACACAGTTCACTGAGGAGTTGCACACCATAATCAATATCTTTCAAGGAGATAAAAAATAAATCTTTTTTCAATTCCTTTCTCTTGGGAGCATGCATTAACACTGTTTTTCTCCCCTCTCTGTGCCTGCAGAGGACCAACGTTCATCTTTCTGCCGAGCTATAGGAACCATTCAGAAAGTCTGGTGCAATATTAGAATGAAACCATTGTGCTCAGGTATTTTGACTTCCCTGACATCACTGCTTCCCTTTCCTAAGCCATTGATGAAGGCTGGAACCCATGCCAGTTGCTGACCTTGCTTTGTTTTGCCCCTCTAGTGAAAAACAACTTAAATCCGCACCCACACACACACACCCCTCAATACAAAACCTAATATAAAAAACCTCAAAGAGGTTTTAACAAAGGCTAGCAGGAGTTTCCACCTTGAGAGAATTCTTCCTAACACCACATGAGGCAGAAGAGAAACCCTCTGTTTTGTTACAGATGCCAGAGTCCCCCAAGACCTGTTGCCAAAGGACATCAATGCCAATACAGCTGTCCTGAAACTCCTCCCAACTCCACTCTCTATCAGCTACTTTGTGACAAGACTCCTCATACAGCTCCAGAACAGTTGTGTGGAAACAGCTACACAAATCACAAAGGAGAAGCAAAGGTACATTTCAAACCATCCCTCTGGAGCAAATCAGGACTCATCTAGAGCTGCATGTGTCACTGATTGCAAAGTGGGGTGAGGTAAGAAGCAAGCTGCTATCCTTAATAGCAAAGGGTAATTTCTTCTCTCCCAGGATCATCCCTGCAGAAGAAGTGAAATCATCTTCGGTGCTGAAGATAACTGAGAATGATCTGATCACTGTGACGATGGCCACCTCCCAGTATGTGATAGAGGAAGATGGCACCAAGACAACACATTTTGACTTCCAGACACTGCAGCGGCAAATGATCCAACATTTTATCAGTGGGAAACCTATCATCAAAGCTCAGGTGAGTTTAGAATTATGTACTTTCATCAGAAGCCAAGTTGCCGTGCTCCAGACCAGCAGACGGTGTAGGGTTTTACGTCCAGCACCTGATACTCACCTCTCCGGAGCTGGAGCAAGCCTGTACATTTGGCAGCCCACCACTCTGCATCTATCTGCATTCCTTGGATGGTACTAGGTGTGTGGTCAAAAACCACATCGTGCTCAGCAAACTTTGGTGCTGAAAAAGACAATGTGAGCCTTTCCATTCAAAGCCTCCAGGGGAGGTTGGCCTGGGTTTTCTTATAACCAAGGAATCGAACGCTACCTAAAAAGACTCAAGAGAGTTTTGTTCCTGGGCACAGTATAGGGCTGGAGTCTACTGTGGGTCTCTGAATCATATTGGAGAAGTCAGTTTTCTGCTGTGGTATTATATTCACTCACATTAGCCTTTGGCTTTCATCCAGAAGCTCTCAGGGGTATCAGATTTGCAAATGGTTATTCCCATCTGAAAAGGCAGGCCAGAGATACACACCTCAAGAATTAAGTCTTGAGGGACAGCAATGAATTTAGGTACCTAAGTCCCTTCAGCTCCTTTAAAACTTCCCATAACCCTCAAGAGATTGTGTAAACTTCGCCTGGAGTTCTCCTATGACTGCTGGGTGCCCTACCTATTTCCTGTCTCAGAGGAAGGGCCTAATGGGTGTTTGGATATGTGAAATATGAAAATCTGGCCATGAGCGAGTGGGAAAAAGGGGTTCAAGGGCATTATAACATGGCTGCCACATAGTGATCCAGGCCTACATGCTTGTCCAGTAGTAGAGCAGGATAAGCAGAGAAACTGACACACAGTCACAGAGAAACTGAAAGTTCTGCTTAAGTAGGAGATCCCTGTTTGTTACTTGCACTTATTGCCTTCACTGCATTCCCCCTTTTAGTAGTGGAAGAGCAATTAGATTCTTCAAATAGAGTTCTTTTACAGGGTGAACAATCCCCTGCATCCTGTTCTGCAGCCCCTCAATCATCTTGTTGGTCTCTGCTGGACTCACTTCAATTTATCAATGTCCTTTGTACTGAGGAACCTCAGATTGGGCACAGTATTCAAATGTAATCTCATAAATGCTAAATACATAGAAATAATCACTTCCCTCATCCTACTGGCTACACCTCTGCTAATATAGCCTTTTTCACCATAAGAGCACACTGCTGACTCATGCTCCACCTGTCCATCAGGACATATGGGTCTTTTCTGCAAAGCTGCTCCACAGCTGGTCTGCTCCACAGCTGGTCTTCTCTCAGCCTATGCTCTTGCATATGATTGTTCCATCCTAGATGGAGTATTTTGCATCTGTCTTTGTGAACTTCATGAGGTACCTGTTGGCCCATTTCTCCAGCGTGTTGAGACCCCTCTGAATGACAGACATGCCCTCCAGCATATCAGTACCTTTCCCCAGTTTGGTTTCCTCCACAAACTTGCTGAGATGTCATGTGAGTTGTTGCTGAACTATCTTAGTGACATCAGCCAACTCCCTCGGCACCATTAGATGCATTCCATCTGGTCTCACAGACCTGTGTACATCCAGCTGTACTGGGTCAGACAGAGCCAATTTTCATCATAGCAGCTCATACCACAGAATCACAGAATGGCCAGGGATGGAAGGGACCTCTGCAGATGATCTAGTCCAACCCCCCTGCTAAAGCAGGTTCACCTACAGCAGGTCACACTGGATCACATCCAGGTGGTTTTTGAATATCTCCAGGGAAAGAGACTCCACAACGTCCCCGGGCAGCCTGTTCCAGTGCTCTATTACCCTCAAAGTAAAGAAGTTTTTCCTCATGTTGAGGTGGTGTAATGTTTTAGATTTGTGACCAAAACAGTGCTGATAACACACTAATGTTTCAGCAACTGCTGAAGAGTGTTTGCACAGCATCAAAGGCCTTCTCCATTTCTCATTCTGCTCCCCCCAGTGAATAGATTGGGGATGTGAAAGAGGCTGGGAGGGGACACAGCCAGGAAGATGTCCCAAATTAACCAAAGAGGTATTCCATGTCATATAATGTCATGCTCAGCAATAAAATGGGGAAGAGGGGGTTTTAGGGAGGTTACCCATCTTTTGCTCAAGAAGTGGCTGGACATCTGTCTACCCATGGTAGGTGGTGAGCTATTACCTTTGCAACACTTGTTTTGTTTTCTCAGTTCTTCCTTTCCTCTTTCACCATTCCACTGTGGGTAATGAGGGGAGGAAAGTGAGTGAGCAGCTCTGTGGTGCTTAGCTGCCACAACAGCAACTTATGTCAGTAGTCTCTAATTTGGTCCTCTTTTTTTGTGACACATCTTTAAACTCTGCCAGTAAACACAGAGGACTGAAAGCAGACTTCTACTGTAAAAAGTGAGGCAAAGAAAACCCTGAGTATCTCAATGAGTACCTTTTCCATGTCCTCTGTCACTATGTCCCCCTCTCTGTTGAACTGTGAGACCAGTTTTTATCTGGTCTTCCTTTTGTTACTGATGTACTGATGTAGCAGCCCTTCTTGTTGGCTTTCACATCCCTCAGCAGTTTCAACTCTAGATGGGCTTTGTCTTTCCTAACTTCATCCTTGCATGCCAAAGCAATGTCTCTATGTTCCACTTGGTTAACCCCTCCTTGCTTCTGCCCCCCCTATATCTCCTACACTAGGCTGTCATTGCCACTTGGCCCTGCAGCCAAGACATGGGTAGCTGTGTCCTACTGCGTGGTCATGGGTTTCTCATTGGACATGTGCCAAGTGGTACCGTGTGTCTTCATAGCCACTCATTTTCTTTCCAGACAGCTCCATCCTTTGCACTAAACAGCATGAAAACCCTGCAGAACACAAAAACAAAACTGAGAGAACAGCTGCAACAGGTATGAAAAGAGATTACCATCCTTTTTTTCCATCCAAGTTTTCTTCTGCCTTGTAATGGTTATTAATAAGCCACCCCAGGGGACGGAGAGAATATGGCACCTGCAAGATATGTAGAAACATCCAAGTCCAAATCAGGCAGATAGCTGGAGCCTCACAAGGAGTCAATTTTCTTTGCTGGCTCTAAAGGGAATCTAGGCAACTCATTCAGATGGACTCATCTGTATAAGTGTCCAAACCAAGGGGATATGGCAACCACAGCATGCCATGCACTGGTGTGGTGGATCAGCACAAGCGGTAAGTGTAGGGTCGTTGTTCCTGCTTGCAACTAGGCTGGGGAACCCATGTGCTTATAGAGTCTGTGTCTTTCCCATGTAAATCCTGGACATCACCCAGGTATCTATAACCCTCCCTCTGATAAGAGAACAGAACTGGTGCCAAAGGTTATACAGTCACTTTTCTGTACAGACATACTTGCAGGACCCAGACCTCATGTGTCAGTCACAGGCTGGCTATATTTCTCCTGTTGATAGGAACCACTAAGTGTGAACCAGCTGAAACAGATCATGGAAGAAGCCAGATCAGTGAATGCTATTTCCCAAACACTTGCCACCTTGAAAGTGGCTGCTGAGTTCCTGGCTGTGACCAGCGGAGACCCAGAGCGCCAGTTGTCTGAGTACGTAAAAAATGAGCTGAAGATGGATGCAAGTGTAGAACAGTTCAGAGACATGCCGGTAAGTAAGGCGCTTTGCTTGTACTGAATAGGAAATTGGCTGAACATTTCCATCCCTCTAACCTTCCCTGAGGATTAAGACACCACCTTTTAAGTCACACACTTTTTTGTGAGCTAACCCAGCCATGGCCTCTCTGGGGAGCAGGAACTAGCTGACTAATTGCCCCTTTTTTACTCCTCCTCCAGGTGGTACCGAACGCTCAGCTGAAGCACATCCTGTCTCTGTGGCAGACATTGTCAGCAAAGAGATCTGTGCTGCTGGTGCAGATGAATCAGGTGAGTGAGATAGTCCGGATCACAAAACTGTCTATAAGAGCTAGAGGAAGAGAGAAACTACTTGACAAATTTGATTTTCTGTGGAAAACTTTGTGATTTGTGAAAATGTGGTGATTTTGATATCTCACAATTAAGCAAGAGCTAAGTAATATTAATCTACTTAAGTCACATCAGACCCTTGGAAAAGGGCCATCCTCAAGGTTTTGTTCTACAAGCAGTGGCGCATTCTGGCATGGGTCACATCAGCAGCTGCTTCTGTGGTCTCTGGGGGCCCTGGCATAAGAAGGTCTCAGCTCTACCTCTTCCATCAGATGTAGCCAAGATGGTCTTTGAGGTGAGTCCCAGGCCGTCCTCTTGCTGATGTTGTTTGTCATTGCAGAATCCCTTCTGCCTGGTTTCTAAGCAGTACCACGAGGACTTAAGTGCAGAGGAGGAGAAGGCTCTGACTACTGTACTCTCCACCGTTAACCTGGACTTGTTCCTCATTGAGCTCCACGAGATGATCATTGTGCCTCTGGATAGCTTTAATCCACAGTGGGGGTAAGAATAGATTTTTCCTAGTTTGTTCCAGGGGTAGATACCAACTCTTTAGATCTAGATGTAAGGGGTCTTGAAGTCCCTTTTAAGGTAGGCTTTTGAAGCTTGCTGGAGAGAAAGGCTATGCCTTCCAAATGTGGGAGTTACCACAGCTGTGACGAGCATCATCGAGTCTTTTTCTGATACCCAGCTAAAGAAAAGTGGGAGTAAAATACAACAGAAACCCCAGCACTTTCAATTTATCTGGCATGTCATGGTGAAGCAAGGGAACCACTAAAACCATACTACCATGGACGCTTAGGTTGGGAGGGCCCTCTGGAGGTCTCTAGTCCACTCCTTTAGTCCAAGCAGGTCTCACTTCAAAGCTACAGGAGACTGTTCAAGGTCTTGCCCAGTTGTGTTCTATCTCCAAGGACAGTGTCATCACCACTCCGCATTGTACCAGGGCTGCATTCCCCCCCATAGAGAATATTTTTTTCTTTATGTTTAGTCAGGATTTCTAATGTTGTATCTTGTACTTGTTAACTCTTGTCTTTTCACTGAGCACTCCAAGAAGAGTCTGGCTTCATCTTCTTGACACCCTCACCTACATACCTAAAGATGCAGAGTTTCCCTTTACCCTGTCTGCTGAAGGCTGAATAACCCAGTTCTCTACCTTCTTTTCATAAGTCCTGTGCTCCAGATCTCTAATCATACTGGTTGTACTCCACTGAACTCACTCCAAAACATCAACATTTTTCTTGTACTGAGAGCACAAAATCAGACACAATCCCCCAGATGTGATTTCACAAGTGCCAAGAGAGGAGGAAAATCACTTTTTTTAATCAGCTGGCTACATTCTTGTTAATACAGTACAGTACGTGTTTGCACTTTGCGGGGGCGGGGGGGAGGATCATATAAGGGAACAAAACAGGTGCCCCCTATACAAGACCAATGAGAAACCCCAATGTGAGGATATGGCCACACCACTTCCCTTTGCCTGTTTCTTTCAGGAGAAATGTCGCAGTGGCGGCCAACAGACCCCATAAAGGAGAGAGCTGGGGATATATCGTGTTGAGTACAGATAGGTTTAGCATGCTGTGTTATACCTGAGGTGGGAGAGGAGGTCAGTGAAGTTGAGAAAGCCTCAGCTTTGAGGAGTCCACAACCTCCACTTGGGTCCTGTTGACAATGTTGACCAACAGTTGCCCATATTGTTGTCTGATACCAATGGGATAACCTAGAGAATACTGCCTGGCTTCCAGCTGCAAGGCCATCTCAGGGCTACCAGCACAGAGTGTCATTGACTGCCAGCATTGCTTGCCAAACATCAGGGCATTTGGAAACCCAGCAGTCCAACAGACACTTAAAATTATTATCTGTCTCACCCACAGACTAAAGGAAACTTTCAGACTCTTCCTGGAAGACAGGCAAGATGAGGCCTACATTGCAAACCTGACAGACACTTTGAGTCCAGACCTACTGCTGAAGAATGTTGTTTCCATCTGGAAGACAGCTGTGAGAACCAGCAAACTTCATAGCCCAACTTACATCCAGGAGAGACCAACCTAACTCTTGCTAAGTCCCCCAAGAATTAACTCACCTTCAACTTCTCCAACCCAGTTGTCTGCTCCCTGAGTGCCATAATTGTCCTGATTGGCCTCACCCAGCATTTCCACTGTTCACTTAAGCTCAGCCCTGGGCCTTCTGTCCCTGCCTAAGCTATGTTGTAGGTGTCCAGCTCTGTGCCCTGACAATCCTGATTTGCTCCCTAGTCTTCCTGCTTTGACCTTGGACCTGTCTCATCATCTCACCTTGTTTGATGATCACTGGGCAGTCAACAGAAACCAGCTCTACCAAATTCTGTGAGACTGTGCCTGGTCAGTGGGGACACTGTCCTGCCTCTGCTGTGGTCACATTCTGCTCTCAGCTCATTTTCCTATGTGAAACAGCCCCACACCTGCTGCTCCCTGACAAAAATCTCCCCTGAGGGGAACCTCATTTTAATGCTTAGTACTGTATTTGTGCTTTTTCCTAATAGCTCTGACAGCATATTCAAGGCAGAAAAAGCAATGTAAGCAAAAATATACCCAGAAATAAAAGCAAAAGCAAGAAGCTTACAGCAGCATGTATCAGCAGTGATACTTCCACAACAATTGCAGTGAAGACCCATTTTATACCCATATTTGGTGACTCTGCACCTTGAGAGAGAGTATAAGTCACCCCTTCATTTGGCCCAGATCAGGTCTTCAGTTTTGGTTGCCCTGACCTAGAAGTACATGCTGTGCTTCCTTATTGGTCCCAACTTTTTTTTCTTCGGTATCCCCAAAACTGATCCTTGTTCCCAAGATTGAATTCCCATGGTGACAAATGACTGATGATCAGTGAGTAGTTTATAGCCCTAGGGCTTCAAATATCATCTTGTGCCTGTATTTACAGGGCCTCCAGTCTCATCCCATGCCTGTACACCTCTTTGCATTTTTATTCTAGGGTCATACATACTTTATTCTGCATATAGTAACTGTTTGTTTCTAGTGTTAGTCACTATATATATGTGATTGTGTGTGTGTGTATATACATACATATGTGTATATATATATATATATGTACATATGTATATATGCATGCATACATATATATATACATACACATGTACAAATATACATACACACGTGCACACACAAAAACTTTTCTAATGGTAAAACATACAGTTGTATAGCACTAAAGCTCAGACAAGTTTAGGTGCTACAAGCTCATGGAGGAAGAAAGGAAGATATGGGTCCTCCTGGCGCTGGTGCAAAGCAAAACCTAGGCTTCCCCCTCTCCTCACCGTAACTTTGCAGTTGAGTAGGAAGAAGTAGAACAACTGGCTCATCTCCTTCCACCAAGCCAGTGGAGGAAAACACAGGGAGCTGAGCCAGGCCTCTGTGGGAATAAACAAGCTGGGCTCACCCACACAGATGTCTTCTTGGAGCAGCTCTGTAGAGACTTGGATGTGGGGTTTGCCACAGGGCGAGGGGTTGAGAGTCAGGGGCCCTGCTGGCACACCAGGCTCCAAAACTGGCCAAGACCTCTGATGGGAACCGGGAGCATACTGAAAACTGTTCCGGTACAGAGACAGGATATGAGAGCAAAATGCACAAATATTGTTGCTGTATGCAACCTCTGCACCTGAGATGAGAAACTGCTTTTGCTTAATTAAACTTAGGTAGGTAAGTAAGGCTGAAGTAAGGTAATTCTGACCCAAAATGCATAAAATGTAAGTCAAATGCTACCAGTGAGGACCACACAGTCAGGAGGGAGTCTTGCAATGTAAGACATCCTTCCTCTAAAGAATTGTATCAGTAATACCATAATAGGCCTAAAATGCCCAAGTAACAGTGTCAGAAACACTGAGTTTGGGTATGAATGTAACAGAGTTGAGATCAAAGAGTAATTAAGGACTGTTTAATTGGGAGGAGTCTGAAGGGCAAAAAAAGAGGTGCAAGGGAGGCCAAAATGTGGATTCAGGTAAAGGGAAAAATGGGCAATGAGGTGAAAGAGCAGGTGGGGAACAAAAAGGTGAGAAGGTTCTGACGGAAGGAGTACAGATGCCGAAGCTGAGCTGTGGACCCAACACCACTGGGGATGCTGGAAGGAATCCCCTTTGGAGAACACGCTGGTCTTTCCACCAAGTTGGTCCACAGGACTTGGTGTGTGAAGGTGCAGTAAAAGTGTATAAACTTCTAAGTAAGGATAGGCCTGGTACATTAATACTAAGTGCAGGAAGAAAGGCAATAGAATTGCAGCTTAGTAAGTGCTTGATTTATAAGATTTCTTTGTAGGATTATAATTATGTATCAGTACTAATACTAGTAATAAGCAATAGAATTGTCACTTCATATTACTTGCTGTGACATAATTGTGAATTATGTACCAAAAAGTGGTATGTTTATAAGGTAGTTGAGGTGTTATGAGCTTTTTAGAGGTGTGTTTTGCTTAATTAATCAACACCATTACTATCTCAGTCCACTACCTCCCAAGCCTCCAATCAAACAAGAAGAGCTGGACTTGGGGAGCAGCTGCTTTCCACCCTTGAGAAGAACAGGAGACAAGGAGAGGTGATTTAGACATACAGTGGACCTTTCCTCAGCAAAAAAAGGGCTTTTAATAGATCTAGGGAGGTGTAAACCCTTCACATGGGGCTTCTAAGGGCCTGTGGCCACATATACCCCATAGCATAGCAAAGAGAGCAGGGGTGACAGGAGCTGCTCAGCACAGTTAAAGGGATGTGATGGGGGCAGACCATGTCTCCATTTCTGAAAGAGGGAAGTGTGTCATGGTAGGGCAGTACATGTCTTGCATTTTCCTCCAACACAAAAATAAAACTCTACATCCAGGTTTGGAGTGGAAAGCACATAGGGTGGTGAGTAAGCTAGTACGTTTGCAGCACTCCCCAGACTGTGGCCTTGGTATTTGACCAGCCATATCCTCCTCCACTTGAATGGGAAACTCCTTCTCCATTCCCTCCCAGCACAAAGTCTCCTGCTGGTCAGATTTTCCTTGGATGAACGTTGGTGAAGACAAAGACTGACCATACCATGTAATGTTGCCCAGACAGCTAGCTGATGGCATCTCCATCCTTGGAGTCACTGAATGCTCAGTTGGCCATGGCTGATGCTAGCCACGGTCAGATGTCACAAGCTCGGATGGGGCTGAGTTCTTCAGCTTCATCTATCCATCCACCCATGGCTTCATGCAGAGCTGCCACAGATCCCTGAAGTGCCACAGCTGTTGCAGGGTCCGGGTCAAGGTGTGCCAGGTCAGGCTGACAGGTTCAGAAATGCCTGAGCCTTGGCCACTGCCTATTTCAAGGCCTTTCTTTGTAGCCAGTTGTGGGTTGAGGAGAAGAAGAGGAGGGAAGGATGGAAATCTTTTATCATCTGTCAGAATTCATCCAAGAGGAAACTAAATTCTTCCAATCTCACTCTAGGCAGACAAGCTTGGTTTTATTAATACACCAAAACTTCCGCTTTTCGCTTTGTGACACATTCCCAGAAAAACATAACGCCATAAATCACAGAGCAGTGGGATGATTGATTTAACTTAATAAAGGGAGACGGTAGGAGGCAAAAGTAAATCATACAGCTAGGCTTGATTTGTGACTACAAAAGCAGTGTGCTAGCCTACATACACAGACAAAACATACAACTTATAGTTCTCTCCGCGCCACTGCAACTGAGCCCTGTTATTTACTGCACTCCTATAATCACTGCTGCTCAAATATCCTGCTGATACACCCCAATTACTGCCAGTTCTTTTGCTCAGAAGAAACCCTTTTGTTCTGTGCAGGAGTGAAAAATCTTAATGATACTCCTAGTGTTCACCAGCATAGGTCTCTGTTCGGTGTGTTACAGCTTGCATGGTGGATGACAGCACCCGTTTTAAAACTGCTGTTGCTGGAATCAGGAAGGAGACGTTGCGGTCTTGGAGACCTGGTACTAGCAGCACCCATTTGTTCACATGAGCTGAGCAGGGGAACACCAGAGTTCCCTGACCTGCTGTCTCCAGCAGCAGCTCGGGATGTAAACCCCGGGCTGTCACCTCCTTATCCGCTTGAGGCCAACAGCCTGTGCCTGAGGCCTCAAGGCCCAGCTCTGATAAAACCCTCGTGACTTCATGGCTGTGGCTCAGGCTGGTGCGGGCGTTGCACAGTCGTCAGGAGGAGCCATGAGATATCTGTAAAGCAGAGACAGGAAAGGACACAAGGTGACACGATAGGCACAGAAGTAGGGCAGTTGAGATGGCATCACTACCACCTCAAGGGTTCATGAGCAAAACCCCAGCATGGGAAGGTATAAAACCCTCAAGCAGCATACAGGGAGGTGAAATAAGGAAACTCAGCACCATCGAGGATGTGTCCTGTGCAGTCAGCAAAGGCGCTGGGGTGCCATATGGGGGTGGTGAGATCCCTGTGCTCAGCTGGGCAGATCTTTAAGCTCCAGCTATCCTGTGTGTGTTAGGTAGCAAATACTAGCTTTGTTCTTTGGAGCTATATGTGTCCTTGCAGCACCTCCTTGCATGTGCTGAAGGGTGCCCAAACAGAGTGACCACAGGGGGAGGCTCAGATCTCACTGGGGCTCCTGTATTAAGCACCACAACCCAGATACAAACAAGACTGCTCACAGGTGGAAAGACAAACTCTCCCATCCACAGCAAAGTTTAGGATCTGGATCATGGAGTATGAGCCCAGCCACAGCAGCTGGTGAACTGCGTCAGCGGAAGTCACCCGGGGGAGGCAGGAAAAGCAGTTACAGTCTGCCAGAAGAGCATTGAAGTCAAGACTTATTAAGCTTGCTGGCTACGGGCTTTGTGGAAAGTTGCAGCTATGCTGACTAGGCTACTAAAAGTGGTAAAGAGAGGGTTGGAGAGAAAATTGCGGGTCTAGGAAAGGGAAAGATGGATTTAAAATAAAAGACTGAAATGCTGAAGGAACTGAGGCAGAAACACATGAACCTCTGCAGCAGAGGTCCTGCCGTGCACATCAGTGGGAGAGCGAGCCCAGGCAGGGTGTGAAGGATGGCTTACAAGAG